GATTATACAAGCTGACCCAAAGCTTCAACCAATCTCCAAAAATTGAACAGACAAAGAATAAAGAAGATAAAAGAAGAAGAAAACCCCCATTGCACCTGGGCTGAGCTTGGTGAGATTGGTGAAATGGTGCTGAGCGAAAGAGAGGGGGAGAGGGAGGTACCTGGGCTGAGGCTGAGGAGAGGGTGTTGATCGCTGCTAAGATTGGTGTGAACGGTGTGTGCTACTGCTGAGCCATGGCAGAGGAGTGAGAGGGATCGGGGTAGCCGTGTAAGGGGTCTGGGTAGCAGTGCTGCCGCTATGTTGAGCCATGAACCATGACAGAACAGGTGACTGGTGAACAGGAGAGAGAGTAGCTGTAAGGGATTTGGGTAGACTGCAGGGGGTAGTGTGTAGGGGGTGGGTTTGATTTGGGCGAGATTTTTTTTTATGTGAGATGAAACGTGAGCCTCTAGATTAAGTTGAAAGAATTGAGATGAAATCTGAATCGTCTCTGTGCTTTCCCAAATAAATTTAAATGAACTTAAATTTTAAAGTGGGAAAAGATTCAAATTGGATTTTATTTTATTATTATAGATGAAAAAAAATAAAAGTAGTTGTTTATTTTTTATTTCAAAGTTTTTCATTGAGAACCCTTGTGATTTAGCATGTTAAATTGATCAAAAAAAAATTCAATTCCTTAGGGTTTGATAACCACAATTATAATACGTAAGAGTGGCGGGAATGATAAGTTTTGAAAAATAAAATTTTTGATTCATTCCTAGGTAGACCATAATGACTATTCATATGGGGACAATAAAATGGTGAGTCTCCACTATTTTTACAAATGTCATTGGTCCTACATTTGGAGCAGATTACGGTACATCCAACACACAATTCGGTATGGTACTGAAATGAAATGTTGTGGCGGCAAAAAGCTGGAAAAAATATTGCATAAGGATGGAGAAATGGACGCGTGTAAAATAAAAAAAAGGACAACTGGATTACTTACGATGTACAACAATGATGGATGTAAGATATATCACAACAATGAATGAATTATAAAGATAATAAAATATTTAAAACATTAGGTAATCGGTTATTCTGTGGAAATTTTTTTTATTTTTAAAGGATACATTGATTAGTGGCTCATTTTTGCTGTTTGATGAATCTATGGTGGACATTAGTTTTTCAAAATAATATCGAAAAACAAAAAAGATGCACCGTAGTCTATTCTCCTGCACTTACTGGCAAATTAAAAAATGTAATGATTATCAATAATGATATGAATATCCCCTTTTGTGCATTATTTGATGTGACATAATTTTTATATTTAAAAATTTAATAAAGTCTATGACATCCATTAATCTAATGATAAAGGTAATGAAAAATGTGGTGAATATAGCATTGTTGAATGGTTATTGATAGTAATGATAATTCGAATACGAAAATCAATAATTTTTGGCAAATCAGGCAACGTTTGATTGCTAATGAGTCACATATTATTTAATATTAGTTTTTAAAATACTTTTTTTGAATTTAGAAAAGCACAAAAAAATTAACAATATGTATGATATTATTTTGCACAAAATAAAATATATACATCTTAGAATACAAGTAATACACTTATAGGAGGGCAAAAAAAAAAAAGCACACAAAAAATCCAACATAACATGCACGGGTACGCTAGCGTGTGGGATTGGACTTGGACAAATTATAAATTTAAACGTTAGGGATTTAACTCTTGCTAATGTCTCACATACTTAATTGATACTTGTAGTTTGTCGGTGATTGCAGATATCTATAATTTACTCTCACAAAAAATGGGTTCAAGGTGAGCTTTCTTGAAGATGTTCTAGGTTACCCAAAACATAAATTTAAGACAACAAGGCAACAACTTGTAATAATCAACTAATAAAATTCCTTTGATCAAAAAAAAAAAAACTAATAAAATTCCACATTTTCAATCTACGCATGGAATAAAAAACAAGTGATTTGGAGGGGAAGGGGTCTGTTCACATTGTTATGTGACCTTCAAAGGATTGTCATTTGTTAGACATACAAATTATAGGGAGTATTACACAAAAACTTTTTGAGGTTTATTAATTAATCACTCTGATCTTTTGACATTTAAAATATTACATACAGGCTTTCTGAGGTTTGTGTGTGCAATAACACTTAGACCCTTACCGTCAATGTCCATTAGTAAATTACATTCAGATATCATGAAATTTGTAGGCGTGTAATGTTTAAATCTCTCAAGTTTAAAATGTTATATTTAGACAAAAAATGTTTTAATCAAATATAGAATATTAAATATTTTAAATTTTACAACCAAAATGCATGTTCTATTATGACATTTATTGAAATAAAATTAAAATTAAAAATCTATTTTTTCTTAAAAAATCATAATTAGTATACAATTATACTATCTATTGAAATTTAATTTGATCATTTAAACGATCAAATAAAACTATCAAATTATCTCAATTAAAGTTAAAATATATTGTGTCAATTACAATTTTAACCCCTTGTTTATTTTTTTTAGTTTTATTCCAATAGATAGTATAATTGTATACTAATTATGTTTTTTTTATGAAAAAATAGACTTTTATTTTTTATTTCATTTCAATAAATGAAATAATATAACTTGAATTTTGATTGTAAAATTCATATTCTATTATGAATGACTTAGACCATTTATTTGATTTTTTAGTTTTATTCCAATAAATAATATAATTGTATACTAATTATGATTTTTTAAGAAAAAATTAATTTTTTATTTTTTATTTTATTTCAATAAATGATACAATAAAATATAAATTTTGGTTTTAAAATTTAAAATATTTGATATCTATTTTTGATTGGAGTATTTTTTGATATAGTATTTTAAACTTGAGTAGTCTAAATATTATATGCTTACAAACTTCAAGGGGTCTATGTGTAATTTCCTGACTGATATATTATTTGACATTTGATGACAGAAGTTTAAGTGTTACGTGCGTACAAACTTTAAGAGGTTTGTGTGTAATATTTTAAATATTGAAAAATTTGAGTGATTAAGTAATAAATCTCAAGGGGTCGAGGTATATTCCTCCCTAAATTATAACTCGAGAGGTCGGTTCGGACAGATTTGGGTATTAGTGAGTGAAGAGTTCATTTTTAGACAATATATTTCAATTGATGTCACAGTCTATAAATATTACGCTCATGTAATGGTAGTATATAAGCTTCACAATCTTGTCGAGTGAAACGAATTTATATAAATTATTTATTTATTTATATCTAATTTATTTATATAAATAAGTTTAACTATCATACCCGTACACGACTTATTTATTAGACAAATTATCTGGTACAATTCGTGTGTTACTCCCTAAATAAGAAAGTCGATTAAAAATTTTTGACTCCACGCAAAAAAAAAATCAACTTTTGCAGGCATTACATATATTTAACCCATTTATTATAATAATAAATTATGACTAAAATAAAAAATAAACATCAAATTACTATAAAATTCAAACCCACACATTTGGCAGATGCATGCAGCAGAGTGAGTTTGACAGGTGGGAGACGTGAGGTGAGAGACAGGCTGGGACACCTATTTTTTTTTTTTAAATTTAGTGACACTTTTAATGAGTTAAACGGATTAAGAAGAATTTATAAATTAAGGATTAATCGTAAATTTCACTTGGAAAGATTTTTTGAATTTTAATTTGTACTCTCAAATATCAAAAATTTTAACTTATACCCTAAAATATAAAAATTTATATCAATGCGAACTTGAAACTAATAGACATCTATTTGTCATCTAAAACTATGGATAAATTATAATTAGATTCTTTCATACTTGTTACTTAATCATTTGGATCTCTCACATTTAGAATATTACTCGTACACTTCCTGATATTTGTATACATGTAACACATAACCCTTTTGCCGTTAATATCTAATATAAGTGTTAAAAAATATGATTTAATTCTAATAAAAAATTATAATTTTATACTACCATTTATTTTGTGAGTCCGTTATACTTTAAAGTTTACAATCAAATTTACCATTTGAATGCCTAATATAATGCAAATATTTATATAATATTTTTTTCTATCAAATGCAATATATTATTCAAACATAATTATTTAAATGCCCAAATGAAAAAATATTTTTAGTCATATTTGGATTCTCAAAGTATGTAAGTGTAATATTTCAAATGTGAGGGGTTTAGGTGATTACGTGACAAGCCTGAGAAAGGTTTAAATGTAATTTATCCAGATGACAAACTGAATGCTGGTAGTTTAAGATGCGCGTTGATACAAATTTTTATCTTTGAGAATGTAAATTAAAATTTTTGATTTTTAAGAGTATAAATTGAAAATTTTGATCTTTAAGAATGTAAATTGATATTCGAACGACCTTTTGAGGCGTAATTTAAAATTAACATATAAATTAAATATGAAATCGATTCATTACTTGGTCTTTCAAATTAGAGGAATATTACATGAATTTAAAAACTAAACTTAAAAATTAAACTTAATATTTATACTCCCTCCATTTCAAAATATCTGTTATTTTATATAATTTTTTTTGTTCTATAATATCTGTCGTTTTATGAAATCAAAGCATAATAAATATTTTTTCTTTTAAATTTATCCTTATCTCTGTTTTTCAATAAGTGCTTAATAAATTAAGTATAGGTTAAATACCTTTCATATTTTTTTTTCTTCCTAATACGTATTGAATAAGAGTATTTTAGTCTTATGTAATTATTTTTACTCATATTAGAGCTATTTAATAGATTCCTTAATTCCTGTGTAAAAACTTTAATTGACAGATATTTAGGAATAAAAGAAATAATTATTTATTTTATTGTAAATCTTCGTATTTATTAGAGCTCACTACATATTTAATAAATATAATTATAAATTTTTATTTTTTAAGTCTAATTTTTAAGTTCAGGATTTCTCAAATTAACTTTTAAATTGCTTGAATCGGTGAAGATTACACTCGAGGTCCCTCCATACATATCAGATTCAGGTCAGTTTTTCTGAGTCATGGATTGCGAGGACTACTACCCCTCGATAAAGCCAACGTTTTCAGTCCCCTTCACGACAAAACTCCAATTATCCAAACTTAAGCCTAATCTCATTGAAGTTTCGCCGTAATATCCAAGAGCAAAAACAAAGACCTTTGCCACTCCTACCAAACCTATAACCCCATTTATAACCTGCATATCTAGGCTTATACTGATCTGGGTCTGGAATCTTGATTCTATTGATACACAGGACAAATCAACATCTGGGTCTGAACCAAATCAATCGGTATGAGTGCTAGGAAGAGAGAGAGGGAGAACCCTTGTGGGGTATGTGGGCATTACCACAAGTACGAAGAAGGAGAGGTTTGTGGGGTCTGTGGCCACCGTATGCCGGCTGCCACCGAGAATAGTTTGCTTCAGGTTAGCGCTTTTCCGTCGGAGATCTTGCCGGAGTTCCTGTATTTGGGTAGCTATGATAACGCTTCGCGGGCTGAGCTTCTCAAGACTCAGGGGATTTCTCGAGTTCTCAATGTGAGCTTGAGGCCATAGTCTCTTCTTGATCGGAACTGAGCTTATTGTGATTAATTGATCAATGATATATTAATGTTGCATATCCTTTATTGAAATATCTGAGATAACCACATATATGGTTGACATTAACTGGTTTTGAATTTCAGTCTATATATAGAATATTTAAGACTTTGATGGTGCTTAGTTAATTGTGGGAAGGAATTGAAATTCATGCTTTTCTACCTGTTTTAGTTATTTATTTTTTATTTTTGCAGTTTTTGATTTGTCAAAGGAATCTTAACTGTCCTTGATCGTGTAGTATGCTTGTTATTTTTGGAGGGTATTTGATGTTGCTTACTGGATCAAATTCAATCTAGTTACTACTTGGTTCCAAGACCTGTTCCTAGTTCATAGCTATGAGCTCTCAATATTGCCTCGTTTGGGTGGATGGGTGTTAATGAACAATAAACAGTGTGGGCGGGGATTTGAGGTACTTTTGAGTCAAGTGGTGGACAGATATGTTTTTTCAGTGAGAGCATTGCTGGTGCTAGCATTTTCTTGTCTAAAAGGAATAGCATCGCACAGGAGAAAGGTGGTGGCACGTTGAGGAGGAATGTGATGGCTTATGGGGGAGCAATCATTGTGGTAATATACGTGGTGTTTTGTGGTGGTTGTATTGTGTGACCATTTATTGGGCTAGTAGAAGATTATATGTAATATAAGAAATTTTTGATAAGAAAAGGTTTATTTTAGACCATTTGGAGGAAATGGTGATCATGAACTTGACTTGATGCCTATTATTTGTGATCAAAATTAAGGTGTTTGACTAAACTTAGAAATTCTCATTTCTTCTTAATCTGCTCATTGGGTTAGCCTTTGTGAAAGTAATAATGGTAGAGTTAGTAGTTAGATTACTAGAAATTCTGTTTGTGAATCCTTGTTGGAGATAGCAGTTCACATTCTTCTTCAATCTGCGGGACTGCATCTCTATTATATTGATTAGTGAAAGATGGAAGGTCACTTTTTATTTTGCAGCATTGGATGCCATCTCTCCCATGATATTAAAATTAGCTCATTTGACACCAAACGTAGTAAAGACGGGAGTAAAGAGTTTTAGTTCAGTAGATCTTTATAAACCCCTCCTTAATTTGGCGACCAAATGAGCCTAACGAGTGTGAAAACGTGTATAATTTCATATTTCCTTTTCTTTTGTTCTCCCTTCCCCTTTCCTTTCCTAGCCTTTTGTACACATGTTTTTGTATCCATTAGCTTCGAAAGAATGACTTGTTCCTCCCAGCCAAAAAAATGAAAAGAAAAACAACTGTTGTTCCCTGAATATTCTTACATTTGTTTCTTGTTACTTATCAGGAATGAATTTATATTGCTTATGTTTGTCCATTTGCAGACAGTACCTGCTTGTCAAAATCTCTACAAGAATTCCTTTACATATCATTGCCTCCAAGATGACCAAAATTTGCCATTTGATGACGCGGTCCAATTTCTAGGTGTGTATCTGGGCGTTATACATTGTGAACTGATATTTGTTAGTTTACATGCTTCTTTTGTTAATGTCTTCTTCTATCTGGTAAGATTTGTGAATTATAACTATGATATTACATGTCAAGGCTGCTACTATCACACAACAGAAGGGGAAGATATTATACATTTTTCTTCACTTCATTCTTTTCTGCCCTTTTCAAATATAGGGTTCTGAATCTTGATATTAGGCCTGTTAATGTGTCGGATTTTAATTTGGATCCAGATGAATCCAAATTCAATTAATTTGAAATGGTTGGGTATTTCATATTTGTCATGAAAAATTCGAATTCAAATCCGAATTTTGATTTTATCGGATTTGGAAATGGACTGTGAAAATAAAATCCCTTGGATAAGTTTTGGATCTGAGTTCTCTTATTGGAATCTGATTGGCAGAAATCGGATTAGAATCCAGTCCTTTGGGAATGGCTTATAAATTATAATTCATAAGAAAACATGGGCAGGTATTATAAAATTCACTATTGTACATTCAGTGTTTTGAAGGGCAACAGATTTGGGTTGGAGCATGTTGGTCATCTAATATTTAGGGGTTTTGCTAGTGGAAATGGAAAAGTCACATCCCCACAGGCCGACTCTTGTTGGGTACTGTGTGTTACCCAGATAGCAACCATTGCTACAATTAATTTCCCCCGGCCACAGCAATAATGAGCATATAGGATATTGTAGTAGTGGCTACTGGCTACTTTTCAGATAATCAAAAAGGGAATATTATTGGTGGTGGTTGCCACGCTTTGGCGAACTTAAGAGACTAGACTGTTAATTAAAGGTAGGCGATGGGATGGTCAAGCATTAATCAGTCTCTGACTAGGGGATTACTTTTCCTGATAGTTCTTATAGGTATGAGGTGGAACAGCAGGATGATTGGCAAATTAATTGTGCTTTCACTGGCATATTGCAGATTAAATATTTAGCTAATCTGCAATTATTAAACAAGTGCTACAATCTGCAATTATTAAACAAGTGCTACATTTATATTAATACACCAAACATCAGAAAGCCAGTGCTGATGTGTTAATTGTGCTAACTTTAGCACTGCTTCTTTTTTCTCGTGCAGAGCAATGCGAAAAAGATAAGGCTCGTGTTCTTGTTCACTGCATGTCAGGAAAAAATAGGTGAACTTTTTACCAGAAACTGGAATTGTTTTCTTTCTTCCCCTTTAAATAGCTGATGAGTAAAGATATAGCCACAACAGACATATGCACTGTGAACACCTCAATAGGACATTAATAGAATTATCAAGTAAGGTGTCATCCATTGATTATGGTGAACAACAAAAATAGGTTTGATTTTGCAATCTCTGACGGAGGCGCGCAGAAAAATATCATCGAACCAGTGATTAGTAAATAATTGGGGTTAACTACAAAATATAAATTATAGTTTGAGCAAATAATGCCGAAGGTTAAGTTGCCCACCCTACCCACCACCTTCGGATGGTAGGCACCAAACTACATAATGACATTATATGAGACTTCTAGTTTGCAGGAATTATGGTTGATGACACAATCTCTTGTTAGATAGAATAATTAAATTGTCCTTAAGGTCTTATGTTGGAATTATGATCTTGTTGTTTTGACAGATCGCCAGCTATTGTGATAGCTTACTTGATGAAGAGCAAAGGGTGGAGACTAGCACAGAGTTACCAGTGGGTGAAAGAGCGAAGAAGTTCTGTTGATTTAACTCAAGGTTTGCACTTATACCATTAAGTAGTTCAATAATTTCAAATTTTCAATTGATGGAGGTTTGTTGGTTAACTAGTATATGTTATAGCAAGAGGTTAGAGGTATCAGTACTAAGCACCAAAGGGGACAATTATTTGTTAACTGTGATAAGGGCCAGGAATGTCACATCAGCAAATAAATTCAATTGAGATATGAAGGGATCCAAATTTGTAATTCGCACAAGATGTGTTCCTATAGAATTCAAGGAGAAATATGGACCACTAGCTGAAATAAAAGCCAAATTTTCATGTTGTTTTTGTAGAATTGAAGATCACATTGCCTTGGTAGGATTCAGAATTCAGAGGGAAATATTTCAAAGTTTTGGTTAACTAACACAGGATCATCTTGCACTATAGCTTAATGTGCCTTTCTCTGTATTTTTCCAGAGAAAACTTGGGTTGGGTTGGGTTGGGTTGGGGCACAGGGGGATATGGATCTCACTTAAAAGTTCTGATCTCACTATTTTCTAACCCCCCGCCCCCCCCCAAAAAAAAAAAAAATATATATATATATATATAATAATAAAAGGGTATAAACTATAAACGCATGAGGTGGTTACAATTCATGACATAAGCATGAATTGCGAACTTGATGTTTCAAACATCTTACAAAATGTTTGCCAATCATGAAATTTGGCTATCTGATATTAAACTCCTGGAGCTTTTCTGTCCAGCTTAACCTTAAAGGGCACAATTTTTGGCCGGGAAGACTAGTTGTTAGGATCTGCACCGTTTCTGCAATTATCTCTCTTCCTTTTAGTTTCAAATGATTTTGACCCTTGGAACCTGATTTTGCAATTATATATCCTTTGGCTCTTCCGTTTAACTTAATACTGCTGAAATGTTGTATTATGACAAGATTGGGATATATTGAAACTTTTGTTTGTCCTTCTAATACTGAAAGAAAAATATATTTCCTAATTTTCATAGACTCATAGCTTATCTTTTCATAGAGATATATCTTTGAGTCCTTTTTTTTGTCAATTTCATGAAGTAAGCAAAAGGCATTTCTCCTTGATTGACACAGTGTCATACCACCCTAGCTATTTATCGTCAAGCTTTTATCTGTAGGCACTTTTCAATTGATTATACTGATTGAGTTCTAATTGCTTTTTTTGTCTATTTCTAAAAGTAGAATGATAGTTCAAGTCAGTAAGTCTACGCAATTTCCCAAAATTAGGCTGTTATTTGGACAACAGTTTGTGATAAATTGAATCATGTATGTGTTAGGCCACATTCCACAGTGGTAGTTGTAGAGCTCAGGATGACTAGAGCCGCACAATGACAACTGTGCAAGGAGGTTGTTGGCAGATAGGATAGTCCAAGATCCAAACTTTCTGTTGGCAGATAGGATAGTCCAAGATCCAAACTTTCTGCAATCGCATTGTTTTTGGCAATAGAACAATACTTCGAGAACACAGATTAAATTGAAATGGTAGAAAAACGTGTTAAGGTGTTGAATTCTAGTTGAGATCAGTGTAGGTGAACCATCAATTTCCTGTTCAAAAGTCTTCTGAATGTAAGTTGAAAATTGTTTAGATATTATAAGTGCATTTGTATTAGTAGCCCCTCTTATTTGTGTTAACAAGCAGATTCATTCATTTCTGAAATTTTGCCGTCTGTCATGAAGCCACCTACCAGCAATTACAGGAGTATGAGCAGAAAATTTATGGGCCAATTGAGAACAGCAACCCCAGCTTGCCAATCTTCTCATCTGCAGGGATGCCTTCCTTCAGCTTTGGGTTTTCAAAGCCTAATGATACAGTTCATGTTCCTGCTTTCAACAGCCCTGGTGCTACGTCCATCTTTGCCCGTCCCATTTTAGACATCCCTCCTCAAGAGTTCACTTTTGGAGCTGGCCAGGCTCAGAGCTCCTCTGAATCGTCTTTTGCCTCAAACCCCCCAAATCCGCATTGTACTGATATTTCCATGGATGGTTCTTAATTTCTTTCATTTCATTACATTCCTCATGCGACACCAATGGTTGGTCAGAAGTCGAATGAGTCACTGACTTCAATCTGAAGTTTGGATGGTAATGAGTGACCGGCTTTGTTGAGTTTGTATCATCTAAAGCCTGGATGTAAATTACAAAAGAAATGCTTAAAGGTTTTCGGTTTGTATGTTTGACAAGGGGTTGCCTTTCTGGGGTTTGTGTGTTCTTGAACTACAAAAGATCTCATTCCATAATTTTACAAAAGATTACTGAAGTATTCTTTGGTCAATTGTCTGCTGAATTTTGTATTGAATCTCTTATAGTGACTCTTTGTTAGCTGTAAAAAAAGCAAAGGCCTATGCTACCTGCTAGGATAAAGACGTCACGTCACATCCATACCTAGTTAAACAGCCACAGGACACGTGCATCTCAAGGAGGATTACAGTGAATCATGTCCAGCGAGGGGAATTTGTGTCGAATATTAGTGGATTTGTGTTTAAAAATATTAGTTATATTTGATTTATTTATTTATTAGTCATAATTTGTATATGAAGACATAATAAAATATAAAATTCGAGTGTTCAAAAAATCGATTTCACTATATTAATTTTTTTTTAAATATATTAATTATAAATTAATCAAATATTAAATAATTAAATATATGATAAAAATGAGTGATGTGATATTTTTAAAAATAAAATATATAAATAATTAAATATATAATAGAAATAAGTGATGTGATTTGACGGTTGTGTTTGATAAAGGGACGATGAATAAGGTAAGTGATTGATCATGATTTTGAGAGGAAAAATATGACTAGAATAAAATTCAAACACACTCCTGTTTTATTATATAAATTTGTGTTTAATAAATTGTGTCATATCGAGTTTATATTGTGTATGAATCGTATATAATTGATATATATATGAATCGTATTATATATTTTTTTAATTAATTTTATTTATATTCGATTCATTTATTAATCGTATCGTGTGAATTCAACTCTACTTATTTATAAAATTAGTGATTTAAAAGAGAATTCAAATACTTTAATTTCATATCCTGTTAATAAAGTCGTGTTTTTGACCCGTTACTTCTGGTATACACTTGAGCCAATTTATTTACTCAGTGGCAGACTAATGAACCTGCCTGTAAATCCGTCGACATTCACTTATCCCATACCAGCAGATTTCATACTCTCTCTCTCTCTCTATATATATATATAGTCATAACCTGTGCCTGAAAGCACGATAAAATATAAAATTTGAGAGTCTAAAAAATCGATTCCATTATATTAATATTTTTTAAAATACATTAATTATAAATTAATCAAATATTAAATAATTAAATATATAATAAAAATGAGTGACGTGATATTTTTAGGAAAGAAATATATAAATAATTAAATATAAGTATAAATAAGTGATACGATTTAACGTTTAAGTCTAATAAAGAGATGATGAGTGAAATAAGTGATTAGTAATATTTTTGAGAAAAAAATATAATTGAGACAAAATTCACTTATTTTAGTATATACTCCTATTTTATTATATAAATATGAGTAATGCTATAAGGATTTAAAAAATAGATTTAAAAATTAGATTTGATAATCTCAACCATTGAATAGATAGTAGATCCCGATAAATGCTGGGATCCATAGTTAAATCAATGATTGAGATTATCAAATCTAATTTTTAAATCTACTTTTTAAATCTACGTTACTCTATAAATATATTCGAATATGCATTCAATTCATTGCTATGAGAAGAGCCAAAACGAGAAGAAGATAAGAAGAAATTAAAGTATTAACTGTCTATATCTGAGAGAGAGAGAGAGAAATTGTGTGTACCAGTTTCTGAGATCGACTATGGCGAAGAATCTGGTGAGGTTTAAGAGAATTACAGCGGCGTTTGACGACGTAGCTCGAGCCAGGCTGTGCGAGAGTAGTGGAAGCGAGCACTCGGCAGCGGCGGAGGACTCGGTGGCGGACTTGTCCGATCTAGTCGACTCGTTCTTGGAGAGAGAAGGGAGAGATGCTGGAGGAGGTGAGGAGGAGAGAGAGAGGAGTGAGAGAGAGGAAGGTCAAGAGGAAGAAAGAAGAGGCCGTTGTGAGGATGAGGAGACGAAGGAGTTGGTGAGGGGTTTGGTAGATGGATATGAGGGTGAGGAGGATGGTGGTGGTTTGACTGTGAAGAGATTGGTTTGTGAGGAGGTGGAAATGGCGTTGCGGAGTTTGGGGACCGATTCGTTGTCGTCGGAGGTTAAGCGAGGAGTGATGAGCTGGTTGCGCCACAGAGGTTTCAATGCCGGTAAGTACTTTTGTGTGCATATATTCTTCGATACCATTCTTAGACTATGCGATCAATATCTTGTAGTACTTTTCGAGTCTATGGTTGTTATCATGACTTTCAACAGTTCAACAATAATCACCTGAGTCCGGTGTGAATTACTTAATTCGAATATTTTTTACTGGTAAAAAAAAAAAGGTTTAACTATTATTCAATACCCAACCTTTCATTTTAATTCATTTAAAAAAAAGTGAATTTTATCTAACTTTTGAACTAATGATTTATCTAATAACTATAATTAATTAAATTCCTAATAAGGTACCCAAGGCCTTGTAGCATTGCTTCAACTGATATGGTCTTAATCAAGAAATTCAAAAGATGTAATTATAGTAATAATTCTTTTAAACCATGTAGCTAATAAAATTAAGTCAAATTTTTAGATTTTAATAATTTTTTTTTGTGTATTATTGGACAAAAAAAAAAAAACTAATGTATTAAAAAAGATGAGGAAATGAGAAACTAAACAGAGTCTTGGGAAATAAACTGGACTGAAAAGAGTAACAAACAATATTATTCATGAATTTTTCCAAATCAAGTGCTTAATTCACGAGCTAATATTGGGTGTAATGATTATATTACATCAACATTGTTACGTGGTGTAATTATTCAATAATAACTCAATAATTAAGTAAAATAGACACTACTCCTTCAAATAACCTCCCTTTGATGTAAGATAGTAATCGCTTGCCCACTTATTTATTTATTAGAAATAATTCGTGTCTGAAGATACAGTATAAAGTGAAAAGTAATGGATTTGATTTTAAGAGAGATATTGGTGATTGTTGAATGAGTCAATTTGAGACTGTCAGATGATCTTATTAAAGAGTTTTATATTATAGATTATTGGATAGCTAGTTATTGCATGTGTCTGAAGACAAAGAATAATAAAAAATAAAAAATAAAAAATATGTTTGTATTTATATCTAAAATCAAATAACAAATACAAAAAAAAGATAAAATGATATAAACATCGGTTTGTAGCCGGGGCGAGAGGTGGTGGACGACAGTGGTAGTGGTAAGAGATGATGATAGTTGTGGTGGGTGGCAATGATTGTGGTGGTGACGATGAGGACCACGGTGATGGTGGTAGGGTGGGGGTGGTGGTGGTGACGGTGACGACAGTGGTGGTGGCGGCGACGACAGTAGTGGCGATGGTGGCAATGGGGGGTGGTGGTAGAGGCAAATGATGAGACGGTTTCAAACATTATATTTTTTTTAAAAATTATTTATAAGAAATAATTTTTAGAAATACTTTTAAAAAATTATTCTAAACACTCTTAGAGACTTATTTTTTTTTTTTATTAAATTTAGAGTATTAATATTAATCGTTAGATTAATTTTAAAATAAAATTTAAAGTGATCTCAACTGCGAATAGTAAAAGTCATTTTATTTATTTTTTGAGATTTAAATTATAAACTATTTTATTGTATAAATTATACCATGCGAGAATGCTACCGTGAGGTGGTGCGACATTACCCCCCCATTATTGACTCAAATTCTACCCCTTATGTTTTGAAGGTAGTTAATTTGCAGTTTAGTCGATAAAACATAACTTGAACTAACAAGTAACAACTCCTGAATCCCAAACTTTCCAGGTCTCTGCAAGTCACGGTGGGAGAAAAGTGCTGGACATCCGGCCGGAAAATACGAGTACATAGACATACTCATCTCCAAAACTCGCTACATAATCGAAGTATCTCTCTCCAAAGAATTCACAATCGCCCGCCCAACCCTTAACTATGCATCGCTACTGCAACTTTTTCCTCAGGTTTGTATGTTTAACGAAGGTGAACTCAAGCAAGTGGTGAGACTAATGTGTGCCGCCATGAGAGAGTCCTTGAAGAAGAGTGACTTACACGCGCCACCATGGAGGAGGAACGGGTATGTGCAAGCTAAATGGTTTGGGCCATATAAGCGAATGACTAATACAGAGGAGCTGGAGCCGGCAAAGTCATTATATGGTGTTGAGATGGTGGCCGGTGGGAGTGTGGTGGGGTTTGAGACGTCAATGGCCTTGCATGGTGGTTGTAGGGGTGAGGTTGTCGGGAAAGGTGGTTTGCATGTAGGGAACTTGAGGGCTGTGTTCAATGGCATGCCTTGGTAATTTGGTTGGCTTTTCTCGTGTGAACTGTAATTTTCATAACTAATGTATATATATACTTTTTAGTTAATAATGTGCATATATATATATATATTTGTATTACGTTATCCAAATCAGTTTACGCGTATCTCAATTAATATTATTTTTTGGTCCGATCAAAGTTAGTTTATCCAATATATTAAGGGATCGTTTGATTGCAATATTAAAAGATGAATTACAAATAAGGACGAAATCAGATTTTATCTTGAGAGGGGCCAACAATAACATAGATAAAAATTTAATTCAATAAAGTTATTCAACGATCATTGTTAATGATAAATTTTTATTTATAAAGAACTTATTGAATTTAATTTTTATTCAATGGCATTGAAAAAATTAATTTTGAGCACAAAACTCAAAAATTGGTTCATGCCATCATAAAAATTCATTTGTGGCATTATTTTCGTCATCTTTTTTCTTGTTTATAATATAACCTTATATCTATAAATAAATCATGGTTGCAAATAATAATTTCATATGATACTATAATAAAAATGAATTATAAGTTAATGAACTGTTTTTGATATAAATATATATATATATTTTAAAGTCATTTGTTTTTTCTCTACAATCATTAAAATAATCCCATAAGTGTCTTTGTTAGTACAAGTGATAATTATCCATGTGATTACATCATAAATAGTTATTAAATATTAAGTTATTGATCTTTTTAAATAAACTAAGTGAAATAATTACACATTTGGTGCTTTAAAAAGCTAGAGGTTAACAATAAAATTTTCTAAAATTATAGGGGAACAATGGAAATTTTTAAAAATGGGGGTGGGGGGGGGGGGGAGGGGAGGGGGAGGGGGAGGCTAGGCCTACTCATAGTTCTGTCACTGATTACATAATCATAATAGATTAAGACTTTTTAATTCAACTTTATATTATACTTGGTTATAAAAAAACTCTTTTTATATTATATACAGTCGTATGTCATATGCCTATCTAAATAACAGACTCTATTTGTACTATTGAGTCGATTATAATACTATATAGAGATGTGGTATTATAGCTTAATTCAAATATATTAAGTTATAAATTTATTATTTTATTCAATATATAACAAAAATATTAATAATTGGACAAGATTGATAATTTTTTAGTCAGTATATAATTGTAACTCTATTATCCTACTCTTAATTTAGTACCTTATTAAATACTGGATTGTTTAATATTTTTATCTCATATTTAATCTTGTATTTTATCGTCTTATACGAAATTAATCTGGATTCTCTAATACAATCTATTCTTTAAGATTATAGCCCCAAATGAGCCACAATATTTTTAGGCACCGAGTAATGTGTCCTTATCTAGTGTTTATCAATAAATCATCAAAATCTGTACACCCATCAGACTCGTGTTTTTTTAAAAGAAAAGAAAGTTAACTATTTGTATGAAAATTCAAGCATAAAAAAAAATTATTTTTTTTATCATTTTTCTTTTCATGCTAACCAAACATATTAAAATTCTAAAAAATTTCTCTTTCCTGCATTTTTTACCATTTTCCCACTAAACAAACGTGCCCTAGAACTTGAAACATCTTTGCCATGGTCTATCTAACTGAACAAGATTTTCCATCATTCCATGGCCTCTCATGTGAAAAAAATTATCATTATTCTCATACAAAAGAATTTCCAAATCAACCCGTCTTTCATTTAATGTTCACATAATATGGTACAAATATCAGCAATTTATCATCAAATTACATGAAACACACTGCACACACAATGACTACACATCATTAGATGTTCTTCACTCTTTCTTTGTTCCTCACCTAATAATAGCTTCCACATTATGTCACAAACATTACTACAATGTCCATCTAATAAGCAATGCATGTCTCCAGAGAGGATTTGGCAAGCCACAGCAAACCCGGATCGTTCCGCTTTAAGACTAGATATGTTTCAGCCTTTCCAATTTCATCCAACACAACGTCTTCGTTGAAACCAATTAGGGTAAGAATTTCCAGGGCAGCTGTGATCACGAGCAGTTGGTACAAACAAAAGCAAATGACAGTTCCATTAGAAATAGAAAGCCAATTTTTAAATGTCACAGTTGCCAACATATTTTACTCATTGCATTGCCAGGATCTATTAATAATGCATCACTAGTAAACTGCACCAGCCTTGACAAGAAAAAGAATCGAAAAGCAGAAGATTGAGAAGATGCATACCTTTATAATTCACAACATCCCTTTGGATTCTGGGATTAGCCTGAAGTACATTGACCATCAATAAAAATAACTAAATAAGATGCAGAATTTTTTGCAAAGATCATATTATGTATTAAAATGACACGGTACCTTTCGAAGTCTTTTGAATTTTATCTCATCTGGGTGTTCAATCACGTTCCTGAAGACAGTTGGAAGCAATTCCTTTAATACAGAAAACAAAAATACATAATATTTATATCAAAATAGCTAATTCAATTTTGATGAGGTACCGGATTATCTTAAAAAGGGTTTGCAGGACTGTAGCAGCCTCTGAGGGATGCACTTCTGATCTCAGCATCTCAATGGCCTTCTGCAGACGACCACAAACAACTGCAACAGGGTCTTGGATTCTCTGTAATTCTTGATCATCTGGATCAGGCTCAACATCCTGCCTTCCGGAAATACCCTGGGGAGCTACCATATCATCATCAGGATCAGGCTCTGATCGCATGATTCCATTTGCTGGTGGATCATCCGCATCAGGTTCTTTGCAAGCCTCGTTCAGTTGCATTTTATTTTCCAAGGTTTCAATAACAAGAGAGTCCTGAACAGGTTTAGCTATGTTTCCAAACCTTGTATTGTTCTGTCCTGCTCCAGACTCATCGGTATCAGGTTCATGATTGATCTTCCATGGCTGAATACGACTGTCCACAGTCTCAATCACAACTCCATTCTTTAAAGAAACCTCCAAATCATCAGGATCAGGTTCTTCCCAAGGCTTATTTTGTGCAATCTCCATGTCAGTCATCAAAGGAGGCACAAACAGTGCCATTTCAGAATCATCTGGATCTGGTTCTGCCATGGTTCTGCTTTCACTCAATCTTGAATAAGGTTCGAATTCCATGGCACCACTGCTCTCACTATCATCAGGATCTGGCTCACCATCGAGTCTCCAACGGGCCTTGGTTGTTGGCATAATATTCACCTCCTTCCTTACAAAATCCATGCACTCAGATTCTTTATGAATATCAGACCCAGAATCATCAGGGTCAGGTTCTTCACGTACACCAGATGTTTCAAACGAGTGGGCAGAGGTGTTTGCTACACGGCGATAGGCAGCAGCCACTGAAGATGCACGAGCATTAGCTAGCTGATCTGATGCCTCTCCCCCAAGCTTTCGTGATAAACTACTATGACTATCAACATTAAACTCCTCTTCAAAGTGTTCTGAATACTTCACTCCACTCAGGGAGTGGCTTCTTGATTTTGTCCAATCTAGAGTAGCGGCTTCTTGATTAAGCTGCGCAGAAGAAATTTCAGATTTAGAAGCCACTGCAAGTGAGACATAATAGTGTACTTGAATAAAGTCGAGAGGGACGGGAGGGAGAAGGTGACAGAGTAATATACTCCACGGCACAGGTGAGCAGGCAGTCATTTGCACCTACTTGCACGCTAGCACACACACAAATACAAGAGAGAGAGAGACAGATGCCCGTCTACCTGTTTATCTAGAGCATAGAAGTTTGCATCATGTTCAGAAAATACCATGTGTGCCTGGAATAAACAATTCAAAATAAGTCCTTCAACACAAAATAAAACCAAAGGTCATTTGACTAACTAGTCACCATGTTATCATGAGTCACGGATAAGTAGCATGATACTTCGGTACAAGGATGTGTAGACAGAGAAACAATTGAAAAACCTTAAGAAGATGAAGCTTACAAGTTCATGCAAAAGAGTTTTCTTGATGCTCTCATATTTCCTGAAACCCTTGAGGTCATCAGTTCGAAGACGCAGAGATATTTCCTCCCCATGATTCTGCAACATCAGACATGAGTCAGAACACCGGGAAAAAAATTAAAATAAAACAAGTATACCATTTGTGTACCAATTTTCTTTTGCATCAACTGAACCTCACCTTGTTGAAACCAAGAATGCATTTGGGGCTCACACCGACATAACCAACAGGGGCCATCTCTGTCATGATTCCTACCCTCCAACGATGCTTTAGGAAGGTCAATCAAAAGATAATTTATTAGAACTGATAGAAAAGTTCAAACAGCACAGGGTGTTACAGGATTGTACCAGTAGTAAAATGCAACTCACAATACCTTATTCATAATAGCAATGATTCCTGGATCTGCAGCAAGCATATGCATTAGTTTCAGTGCCTGTGAAGCTGGAGGATTTAACTGGAGGCAAGCCACAACTAGGTCAACAATAGCTCCAAGGAATCGCTACATAAGTACTAATTTTACCAGGAATACCCGGAGAGCATACAAGTAAAAACATACAGTTTTGAAGAATAAGATTTCTACAATGGAGAACGAGGTGAGACCCAAGAACAAAGAAAGTATATTAGCCTTCAAAGTACAGCACGTGACACAATGACAAGCTGACACAATAAATAATTCATTTGCCAGAGAAAGAATTCTGAACTCCAGTAATATTCAATCCTACCTTATCCCAAAATGGAGACATATGCAGGAACCCAAAACAAAATCTGACAAACAAGAAAAACCAAGGCCTTAAGAGTAAGCATGAACACAACTCTCAGGCCTGTGTATTAGTGTCAAGCAAGTCAGGAACATGGACACACTCGAACATGTGAAAATGTGTCCCAATTTTTCTTCCACGTATTGGACAGATTTGGACATGATACGGGCACGTTCAGAACAAGCCAAAAACATGTTCCAAAAAGTTACATTTTTTCATTTTTAAAAAATTGGGGGTCAAACATATTTTGAAATTAAATACTGAAAAAGAAAAATGATAAGATAAAGAAGCTACAACCTAAGCCCTAAGAAGCTTAGAAATGATCCTAAAACTTATTTGAACTTGCATAACTCATGGTAATCGCCAATATCACACTTCACATCCAGCTTTGTAATGTACCAACATTCATGTCATTACTAGACATATAGCCCAAGAGCCTTTAGGGACTACACCCCCACCTCCACAAAAGGAACACTAATCAAAATCTAGAATGCTTCCCAAAGTTGATAAAATCCAACTATTCTAAAACTGATCAGTACCAGGGACAATTATCAAAAAAAAAATCCCACCCCCCAAAAAGAAAAAATATGATCAACAATTTAATGTAATAGGTTAGTAAAACTTTGTGATCCCATGTAACTGTGTTCAAAGAATCGTTCGAGTCGTAGACAACTTGACACTTTCTGGTCCAATATTGCTTCATCTTCTGTGTACTGTAGACAATGAGCCACCTGACTTGGGGTTAACTTGGTCGAATCATCCAAGTCATTGTCATCAACTCCCATCATATCACCCACTATCCTGCAACATCACGATATGACCAGGATTTTTCGCCATGTCTAAGTTCTTTACATATCATTTTGAGTGTATCGTCTAAAGCCATTACATGACACCCTGACCAATGTGTCTCAGTGTGCTCCAAATTAAATGCCAATACTGCAATCTTGAATCATGATGTCGCTCTTCGATTCTTGGAGCCCATTACTGTTTTATCTTACTAATCTCCATTAAATTCAATAAGACCCTAGATTACCTTTTGGCAGCCAATGGCCTGAACCAATTGTGTAAATGAAGAATCCCACCTTTTCTAGGTCTACAGCATCCAGATTATATCTAATGGTGAAAGCCATCTATGCACATATAAATGCCAAAGGCCACTCTATCCTAGACCTTCACCAAATATTTTCCAGTTTATGAGTCCTCCAAACACCCCCCCTTCCAAAAAAAAAGAAGGAAAAATAATACAATGATCCACTCAAGTTGGCACCAAGTTCAAAAGTCCTCTCTCTTAAGGTACATGGTTTACCGCCAAAATTGAATTTGTAATCTCCAAATGACCTCAAAACCGCAATAGAAAAATGAAATAAAATTGGCCTGGGAAGCACCTAGCACTCCTCCAACCAATTTTGATTTTCTTAAAAAAAATGCCACCATCCGTTTTATTGGAAAATTTAATATGAATAACACCGATATCATTTATTTATGATTGTATTAAGATTTGGTACAGGCTAGGAATGTGCCATTCAGAAGTTCATCTATATTTTTTTATAAAAGAACATTTGTGTGCACGTTAGCATGTCAAATATAGTGAAACAACTATGTCTGATACTTGTGTTTCTCTCTGGCATAATTGATCAGCCGGTTAACACAGCAAATTCATTTTTCAGTGGATATTACTGAACTAAATCTAGTCACGAGCAGCAGTCCTTAGGAATACCAAAGGTGGGTTGAATTTGGATATTTTCCTTCTACTCTCCTGCCTTGGCTGCTAACAACCTACAGTACTGACTTGCAGATACTTGACGCTTCCTTATGCGACTTGGAGATAAAACATATGGAACTAAAGTAGCAAGGTCAAGAATGAAGCCAATCTACCTCTATTCCTGGAATATGAAGAGTGCGAAAGTCACAAAAAATGTAAGTTCCTTGCGGAAGTTTCATAGAAGTGTGGGGCCTATCGAGCATTCTTTGCCTCAGTCTCTTATCTTCTTCGTCAAATCCAGCTATCCTCAGGTCCGTCTTAGCATTTTGTATAACTTCATCCACCTCATCTTTTGGCACTCCCATCATCCTTATAGATTTCCCCTGAAATAGAAAGTGCCAGCACTAAGTTGTTGTGCAAGACCTATAAAATTTTTTCTAGCATGTTTAAAGGACACGAGCACAAGAACAACAATGCCCAGTTACAACAATGACAAAAAGTGTAAACAATCAGTTCTGGAGATTAACTTCTAAGCATCGGCAGCCAGCTTTTGCCTACTATAGTGTACAGTTGTGTTCACATGCTCGTGTGCAGATGTAGGTACAAACCGTACAATGTATAGCTTCAATTGAAACCCACAAATTTCCAGCAAATTTGGTAGGACAATGCCTACCAAAGATTATTTATTAAAAAAATTACTAAATGATTCTTCTATTAGTTGATCTTCATATAACCAGACAAAGGAATCCATCACGGAAGTGGTGATAGTCAGAATATTCTTCTAGGCTTGAGAATACCAATGAAGTGCACATGCAAAATCACTTGGAGATCAAATGATAAGCAAATCTACGATCAGGTTTCATTCTCCAATAGCTAAGCAAATTTAAAGATCAGGTTCTTTCTCAAATAGCAATGTCCATGGTGTCATAAAACACTGAAGGCATGCAAGTCAGTTACAGACCATAAAACTCCTCAAACTGGGAAAAAAGAAGAAAGAAAGAAAGAAAGAAAGAGAGAAAATACAAGAAACAGGCCTTCAAAGAGGTATGGATAACAAGTATGCTGAAATAAGAAATTTCTGACATACAATGGGTTATCAGAGAGACCTGATAATAATTAACAAGAAAACCAATATCAATTATAACATAATAGTAAATATCCACACCTCAAATGCAGATGCTTCTTGCAAACTTAGAAAAGAGTGCTCATCGGAGAAAGGAGAAAGCAGTTTTGAACTTTTATTGGAAGGTACAATGAGGCGCATGGTATCTGCTTCCACACCCGTCAATTCCTGCAAGTTGTGTCCCAAGTCTTTCAGACTAGCATCTGAACGCATCTTAAGAACAAACTTATTTGTCCTCCATGTAACTGAGATGTCGCGAATGTCTTGCTCCTGCTGCATCATGAGCTACAAAAGTGACGAAGGATAAGCAAGTGGACAGCTTCTGTCAAATGGATTAATCATGCATTAATCAATTCAGGATAATCAGTCCACATGCTCAAATAGAAAAGTGTAACTTTTTGGAAAAATTTGCATAAGAAACCACCCCTGTAATATGACCATTCCTGAGTCAGAGATTGATTATTATTGTCCAAGTTCATTTTCTGATGAAACATTTAGCTTTTATTTCAATCATTGGGACTGGTAAATTTGACAATTTTCCTTGAAACATTGAGAGTAAACATTACAATCATGAAACCCGCCCATGCAGTTTGGTGCCACGTTGTCTATGACATGAAACATAAACTTGGATGTCTTAGGTTCGACTCACAATAGTGGCTGTTGGATTAAATAAAAAACTGTGCCTTGAGGGTAATTAGAGTTATCTGAAGTTTAATATGTCCGGGCCAGTTCAAAGAGATCTCGCCTTAGAGAGGTTTCCTGTTATCAAAAAACAATTTGAAATATACAGCCAAATTGGTAACCACAACACTCGAGAGAGACATGCCAATATGAATAACCAGCGATTGGAAGATGTCCAAATCACAGTTTGCTCAGATTTCATATACGCTCCATGGCCTATAGGTTACTATAGGTTAGCATGCTAAGCACCAAAGTATACCCTAGTTCAAGATGAAAATGCAGACATAACTTACAAAAACATAGGCCATCTAGAAGTTCCCTGTAAATTGGTTCAACTGAAGAACCACTCTGGCAACTTTCTAAAGGTTAAGACATGATAGCCTATTTGTAATGTCAAAAAGTAACAAATGCGATCAGCAGACCCTTCTATGCTTTGACACAAAAAATAAAAAGAATCTCGGCAACCAAAATTGCTACTATAGATCATCTTAGCTCCACAAACAGATCACAGATTCCCGCTAAGTTTTACCTTCAATAGCAATTAACCACAATTGGGTTCTCAAAATAAATATCAATACACTGAAAATACTTCAAAT